ATATATAAGCGCAAGACATAGAGACGCACAGAGACACGCAGAGACACACAGAGACACACAAACACACACACACACAGACCCACACAGACACAAAGAGACGCACACAGACACACAGACACACACAGACAAACACCGACATACACAGACACGCGCCGACATACACAGACACGCACAGACACAGACAGACACAGACAAAGACAAAGACACAGACACAGACACACACACAGACACACACACGACACAGACTACAAACACAACACACACAACATACAGCGCCCACACAACACATCCAACACATACAAAACACCACACCCATACACACAACACACACACACACACACACACACACACACCACACACAGCACACACCCAAAAAAAACACAAACACACACACACACAAACACACACACACACACAACACACACACACACACACAAACGCACACACGCAACACACAGCACACAATACACTCAATACACAAACAACGCCCACAACACACACACACACACAACGCACACCAACACACACAACACACACAACACACACAACACACACACACACACACACAACACACACACAACACGCACACAACACACACACACAACACACACACACACACACAACACACACACAACACACACACACAACACACACACAACACACACACAACACATGCAACACGCGCAACAAACGCGAAACACACGCATACCAACACACATAACACACACACAACACACACACACACACAACACACACAACACATGGCACACAGCACACACAACACCTCGCACAACACAACACAACACAACCCAACCCAACCCAACGCAACACAACACAACACACCACAGCACAGCACAACACGACGCAACACGCGGACTGCCCACACAACACCGCGCTTGCTCTTTTGGAAGGCTCTAAAGTAGGGCTCCTCAACTGGCTTATCACCATCCACAGATATACTCATGTGGGGCTATCGGCTATCCGGTCCCTCTTTTTTATTTTCCAGAATGTAATGTTCAGTAAAAAAACAAATATCTACTCATCTACTTTCGCATTTAATTAGAAGCAAAAAAATATGTATATATATATATATATATATATAAAGACATATGTATGTAAACGCAGTGTTCCTTCACTTCAATTTAATCCATTCGGTTTCAATCAATTATATGGTTATATTTAGTAAAACGAGATAAGAATACAAGATCCAGGTCTTTCATGTAGTATCGGCAATAGAATATTGTCTTCTTATTCTAACTCACCTCGTATCATTCAACCCCATATGCTTCCAAGGTAGCGCATCTTGGATGCAGGCCTTGGCCCCAAAGAGACCGGTACAACCGGTACTGGAGGGGTCCAAAAATCCAAGATTGCTGCGGAGTCTTTCTTTGGAATCTTGCCCTAAACCCTAAATGGAATCTTGGATACCGGAGCTGGGTCCGGTACTACTTGTACCGGTTTGTACCGGGAGAGGCTGCGGTACCCAAGATCCACGGAAAGACATTCGAAATCTATCTTACAACTTGGTTACTAGATCCTGCTCTAGAACTCTCGATTTAATGATAAGCATATTGAACATACTGCTTGCGTTCTTTCGCTGCTGATTTCTCGAGATCTTGTGTAATCGGGCCGTCGCTCATATCTGACCGTTCAGGGAGAGTTGCCTGGGCAATCGGTAGCATCTTCGTCTTTATCCGAGGATCGTGCTCATCACCTAGGGCTTGTCGAAATCGTGCTGCAGGACTGTCAGAAAGGCACGCACGGGAACCGGCACAGATCGACTCGCATAGCGACTGAATGACAGCTGAACCAAAAAGGCGACACCGGAGCAAGATTCGGGCGAGTAACAGAAGCAACCAATTCGAGGTCAGGGTAAAGATCCACGAAGAAATGCTGAAACTCTCGCATCTGAGACTGAGCTGTGCATCCAGAGTCCCGCTAACTGCTTCGGCTAGGTCCGAACGACGTGTCGTCAGATTGTGGGGTTGGGTCTAGTGATGGCTGTGGAGGATCAGCGCGACCTAGTGAGTGTTCTTGGGGCAAGCTGCAAAACTTGGGTTGGCACTTCTTTCCTCTGGTGCCAACAGCTTCGGCACAGTTTGGAGTAGCACGATCTTGTTGCCAGCACATGGTTACCTCTTCATCGGTTCCGGAATCGTGCTGTGGACCCTACGGCGAGGATACCTTTCTAAACCCGACACAGGGGATTTGCAGCATGGCTGGCTACAAGTTCAGTGAAACAGGATCTGTATACTCTCGCTGCGGAGAGCCGACGTGTTCCTGCAGGCCTATTCGACGATCTTAGCTGCATCATCTTTGCCGATTGTCACACCCATCTTCGAATGAGCTGGAGCGACTGCCTCTTCGAAAAGGTACAAAGCTACATCCTCTTTCGAAACGGTAATGGGAAGGTTGCCCTGACCTTTTGCAGTGACGAGCTTGTAGGAGTTCCGGGGCAGCTCTGCGGGGTCCACACCCAGCGGCCGCACCAGGAGATAGTCCAAGTTTGAGCTGGAAACGATCTCTTCCATCTGTTGAAGGTCGCGTTTCGTGCTACGAAATGCGGTTGTCAACAAGCAACTCCAGAAGCATCCAATACAGCTGCATGGTAGGTAGTCATCACCGATACCGAAGGATGAAAGTACAACCAGCCGTGAGACACCTGCTTGCTGCATTGCCGCAACAATCTGGCGGGCACCGCTGGCGCAAGTGCACGCAATACCGCTCTGTCGGCTACCTGGGCAGGCGACCACTGCATCGCAGCCTTGGAAAACTGTGGCAAGTTGCTCCCGGCAGTTGCTGTCCGAGATGTTGAGCTTCAAGATATCAACTCCTTCCATCTCTTTCTGCAGGGTTTCCCGCCGCGAGACGGGGACCACCTCTGTGGTCTCAATGCCTGTGGCCTGACCGTCCTGCACAGGAATGCCAAACATCAGCCTACCTCAGAGCTCGAAGCCCAAACGTGTGCCAAAATCAAGCTACCGATCTTGCACTGGTCACGGCAATCCGGAACCCACTGGCAGAAAACCATTGCCCAGCTCGGTCCTCGGAGATGGCGACCGCCCGGAGCTCCACTCCATCCCGGCGCTTGGCATGCATAGCAGCCAGCCTTAACACTCTTCCGGTTTCTGGAGCTTGGAGCTCACATAGGGCCAAAAGCGGAAATGAAGCCTTGCAGCATAAGTTCTGCGATACGTGCTGTATGGGGTCAGGCGAGACAGAGCAGAGAAAGAGAGAGAGAGAGAGAGAGAGAGAGAAAGACAGAGAGAGAGGCAGAGAGAAAAACATTGATACAGACAGCAACAGCTACATGTACACATGTAGGCAGGCGTGTACACAAGCATAAAAGCAAAGAAATGAATGCATTGCCAAATGAGTGCATATATATATATATATATATAGAGAGAGAGAGAGAGAGAGAGAGAGACCCATCCACACGACATACCTATTTCCGCAGAGCGCGAAACAACCACAAAATCCCAAAGCCGCCCTTCAATGGAGACAGGCCGAGACATACAGAAGTAAACGCAGATAAATGATGCGGACGGACGGACGAAGAGCAAAACAGGAGGCTGGGCAGGAACTCACATAAAACGTGTGCGCGAGACTTCTGCAAAAACTGATCAGACATGTTGAGCGCGTGGTTTAGGTTTACATATGGTTTCGAGCTGGCAACATCATGTTACTGTTGACGCACCCATGCTCAACATGCATAATCAGACATAGCTGTTTGTCGCATGCCAGCAGCTTTCCCACGTCTCCAAGACCACCTGCGGATGCCCAAACGACAGCGATCGTCTGCTTCGTGCTCATGGCTCGCTTTCAGCCTTCTACCGACTCCTTGGGAATGGAGGCTTGAACCGCACACGCTTTTCGTCGCAGTTTTGGACAGGTAAGTGCCGGACTGGCTTCAGAGGAACGAGCTCTGGCAGACTCAACCAGGTTTAAGCGCAACTTGGGGCCCTGGACCACCCTGCCGAGTAACACGTGCCTTTGTCTCTGGATTCGATTTTACGGAAGTGAACTGCAGAGCCGCAAAGAGCACAAGTCACTCTGGTTCTGTGCTTGCACACTAGCAACTCCCCTGGTGTAATAAAACTGCAGGAGTCTGACCAAACTCGCACCTGGGCAGCGAAGCGTGGCGAGTAGCACGCCATCCCTGATCGCAGTCTGCACGCAGAACTCTCCTACTTGTTGTTGGGTACGTACAGATCCTGCATTCCCATGACCATCTCTTCTGTAAGAAACCCTTGTGCATGCGGCCCGATATACGCTTATGTCGGATTGAGTCTGAAGGCTAGCTGCATGGCAACACTGTCTTGGATTTTGGGGGTTCGAAACTGTTTCAGGAATGGCAAGCCGATGCGAAGTTCGACTGCGAAGCGCATGCTCCCCCCCTCCCTCACTTTCATAGCGGTCCTTTCTCGAATGAGTTTGCTCGCACAAATTTGAAACTGGCCGGCGGCCGTGTAGTTGAAACGAATCAAACTGAATTCGGGCCCAGGGAGTGCAATCATCAAGGTCGAGGTTTGGCTTCTTCAGAAGGGCTAACCCATTGAAGCCCAGGAACCCGAGAATCCCTCGGCTTGCCTTACATCTCTGCCGAAAGGCATGGAGCAAGACGATTAGGGTTTAGGGCTTCCGAAACCCTAAATCCTAAACCCTAAGGGTTGAGTAGTATGTCGCCCACTGCATGATTGTGTTTGTGTACAAGCGTGTGCAGTGTCGCGAAGGTACAATGGAAGACATGTCTTTGTACTCCCCAGGCGGGCTGCAGGAGAAAGCTGCAATTGCCGAACCAGCCGAGTCATCATTTACCAGCCCAGAGTCCCTGGCTCATACATATTAAACAAACACACACACACACACATGTATATATATATATATATGTATACATATATCTATGTGTACATATATATATATATATGCGCCCTCACATACATACATATATATATATATGTATATGTATCTACACCCACACTTATACTTTTGTACACACGGATATCTTCGTAAGGCCACCACCCTGCAATACGAAGATCTGCCTTTTGAGTCAGAACCGGCGATCCTGAAAATTGTCAGCAGCCAAAACAATTCTGCTTCTTCTCTCATTGATATTGATGCTGGTTTCGAAACATCCCCGACCTGGTGTTGTTCCCAGCGTCATCTCAGACTAGCAATGCTGCTGTTTCCGCTCAACTTAGTCTGAGCCAATCTCTGCTGTGATCATAACCACCATCTCCATTCGACTCGTTGCAATGCTATGCTGCCATGCCTCGAAGTTTGCCATTACTCTGCTGGCAAAAACAGTCGAAGCCTTTCTTTTCAACTCGAGGCCGAATCAAAGCCGGTTCCTTGGAGTCTAGTCTCGGCCAGTCCCTGATCGTCCACGGCGTCTTCATTATCGCAACCATATTGACATCATCGTCCTCATCCTCGTCTGAGGTACTTTCTTCCAGAAGTCTTAATCAGCACCAGCAGTATCATCATCATCATCAGCATCATCACGATTGTCAAGCTGTCATCGTCATCAGCGTTATCATCATCCTTCGGCAACACCCTGGTTCCCTGCAAGTCCGATTTCGATGCAAGCAGGATGTATCTAAGTTTTAGACGTAGGCGGCCAGATTGAAGGATTTATCGCTGGCTCGGTTGCCCACTCTACCGAACGCGAAACTACAATTGCATGTTGGGGAGGAGCCAGCAGAGTCAGGCAGCAAACTTGGTATGTCTGCACGATGGCACTATCTTGACATGTGGCGCTAGAAGGTGCAGAAGTACGTTAAGATGCTCCGTATATCGGCCCAAAAGAAGTTTGACCTGCCATTCAGGTACCCTCCAAGGGTGAACCAGTGACTGATACTCCCCAAATTATGGCAGTGTGCGAAGGCTTCAGCAGCGCTCGTCATAGTAGTTGAAAACATTTGCTTCGGAGTCAGGCTTCGCCCATAGCTTGATGACGTCCAGGCACTTGCAGAACCTTGGCTGCTTCCATGGTCGTGTCCCAGAGTCCAACGAAACGACTGCCGCTCTGTCTTGGGCAGCATTTATGTCACCTTTCGTACACAGCTCGATTGCTACTTACTTTTCCTTTGCCAGTTGCGATTACCAAGACTGCTCCGCATTGCAGACACTACGATGGCCCTGCGGAGTACCGTTCGTAGTTTTGCATCCATCGAAGATCTGCTGATACCTTCGTCGTCGTAGCAGTCGCAGTCGGAGTAGCAGTAGCTGTGGCAGCATCAGTGCAGCAGCAGTGGTATGGGTAGACGAGCTGTTATGGCTTGACTAGTAGTCGCCATGGGAGGTCATAGTCACAGTGGCTGTCGGCCTGAAATATGAGAGCAGGAGTAGCGGAGTAGCGAAGTGTACCTTGGTTTGTGACAGTTATGCTTAGCAGGTAATTCATGGAGGGGCACTGTGCGTGCACTGTGCTAATGCCCACTCTCAGAGCAAAACCGAGAACTACGAAACGACAGCTTCTTGCATTCGAGGGGGCGTGGTGGCCTGTGGGCAGTAGCCACCCATCAAGCCTTGCTTGTCCACAAAGCTGCACGGATCAGAAAATGCTGCAGGATTCGGGTTAAGCGCCCTTGTAGGCTGAACTTCTATGGTGCTCGCAGTGTAGGCTTCGCGAGCGAACTTGTGCAGATCCTCGGTATAGGAGCTGCCACGGGATACCACGGGGTGGTTCAGAAGCTCAGGATCTAGGATTCTAGGATGGACTCAAACTGAAGAGCACCGCAAGATCCGTGGATCGCAATTGCGAACACGAGACACGTCTCCCACTCCAACATGACGGATAAGCGCACAAATTGCGTACCAGAACAACCTTTGATGCCAACGTCGCCCGACTGAAGCAGTCGCGGTTGTGAGGGTTTATACACGCATGTCAAAGGGAGGCCCATTACAGTAGAAGCCGGAAAGTTGCAAACCCAATCGCCTCAATCCTTAAGAGTCATGTATAAGGCATCCCAGCACTAATTGTTCTTTATCCGGTTTCCAACTTTTTGATGGGTTTACTACAAGCCCTAAACCCTAAACCGTGTAGAGGAGCTAGGAACAGTTGAAAGACTGTGCGAGGCCCAAGGCTCGGTCTTGAGAAAGAACTTTGGAAGCAAGAACAGCAACTACAGTAATTTAGGGGCCGTAGTAGTTAGAGTATAAGGTTTGGGGGCCCATAACTCATAGTACTATTGCCATAATAAGGAACCCCCAAAATGGTCTTGCCATTACTCAGGGTTTTATAGTACTGCAAAGCCGAAGGGCTCCCTCGGGAAGCCTCGCTCGAAACCTCCCCACAACTGTTCAGGAATAGGGGGCCACTCGCGGAGGCACCCGAACCAGCAGTAATCCCGCTCCGAAGGGACCATTATGAGTTTTTCGGAGTTTCCAGCTCTCCCGCAGCTGGGCGGCGGTGCGTGCCATCCGGAGACCATGAAGGCACACAGTATGCCTCACCGGCAGGTGATTAGGAGCTGTGCTTCGTCCATAATGGTGTGATGAGGATGTCCTCCCGCACATTCATTCGTGTGCATGCCTGTTGTAAACCAAGTAGGGGAAAGACTCAAGCGTTCCGAGTGCGACCTAGGCTTGACTCACCAGCACTTACCAGAAAGACGCCGATATACTGACTTGCGAAGCAGGTCGACTGCTCACTAACACGAGGACTCAACGCGCAGCCGCAAGTCTACCAGTAAAAGCCCTCCCACCTTTAGCCACAAGTTGTCTGTCGGGAGGTCGAGATCTTCGCATGTCCTTCCAAAACACGGGGTTTGAGAAGCGTAGTAGCTGAGATTTAGCCGTGGCTCTTGTTGGGGACGGATGTTGACATGAAAGGGCCTTAGTAATTTCAATAGTGCTATTTTTTTTGTGGGGGGGGGGGGGGGGGGGGGTACCACTAATATGGTTGTACAGGGATTTGAGTCGAGGGGATACATAAACTAATTCTTCAGGTCCCTACACTGTTGCATTAGTCCGTCGGAGTTTGAGATTTCAGGCGGTCAGATCTTGCCGGCCAGGGCTGTAGGATGCGGGCACCGTAAACCGTGAGACCAGAGCTCTGACATCCCAGCTGAGAAGAGCCTAAATCCTGGATCAGAACCCTTTCGCCTTCAGCCGGAATCGTAACGCCACGACACACAAACGCACACACACCCACACAGACAGACACACACCTCCAAATCTGTTAAACCTTCGGCCCCCCAGGCCTCTGGCCCTTAGCAAGCAATCTGCTCCTATACCCCATAGCTAAGCAACCTTCAACGCCGAAACAGACCCTCGGCCCGAACCCAAGGCCCCCCCGCCCTCCCTCACCCCGGCAGAGCTCCCTGTGGCAGCCATCTCCGAACACTTGCCGTCTTCCTTCACCTCTGAGCCTGGCGCCTTGGCCGGAGTAGCAACGCTGCCACCGCCGCTTCTTGGGGGTACATTATTATACTATGCAGAAGAGTAAGTAGAAGGACTTTAAGGGGATACTACTACTACTACTACTACTACTACTACTACTACTACTACTACTACTACTACTACTACTACTACTACTACTACTACTACTACTACTACTACTACTAGTACTATACCTACTACTACTACTACTACTACTACTACTACTACTACTACTACTACTACTACTACTACTACTACTACTACTACTACTACTACTACTACTACTACTACTACTACTACTACTACTACTACTACTACTACTACTACTACTACTACTACTACAACTACTACTACTACGACGACGACTACTACTACTACTACTACGACTACTACTACTACTACTACTACTACTACTACTACTACTACTACTACTACTACTACTACTACTTACTAAATATACCCTATATTAGCCGAGCGGCACAGCGATCGCAACTTTCGGCGTTGCCAAAGGTACAGAAGTCACAGAAGGAGGCCGCACACTCTTGCTTGTAGGGCGTCCACCTTGTTGAGAAACAGGGTTTAGGGGTTGAGGGTTTAGGGTTTAGGGGTTGAGGGTTTAGGGTTTAGGGGTTTAGGGGTTTAGGGGTGGAGGGTTTAGGGTTTAGGGGTTTAGGGTAGGGACCCAAACCTACTATCCGGAGAACAAAGCTCGCAGCTCACTCCCCCTTCTGAGACATCCAGTGGGATGCTGGATGTTGCCGGGCCCTTCCGTTT